CTATCCCTCAACCTCTTTCTCCTTTCAATCTTGGCACCATCCTTCAATCTCTCCCTTCTCTTAATTTCAGTTCCTTTCTTTTTCTGGTAGAGATAGAGGAGATGCGTTTTATCCATGAACCCAAAACTCCGGCGCCAGTCACGGACTTGGGAAGACAATCTTCCCTTGGTGTTTAATCACTGCGGGATGCCTGCTTGATCATTCACCCACGTTTCAGAGGTGTTTAATCACCGCGGGGACACCTGCCTTGGTCCTTCACCCTTAGTGGCAAGTACCACTTTCCTAGGGGGCAAGCACCCCCTGCCGCTTCTCTCCGTGTTTCTACCCTCTCTTTTCTCTGGGCTTGCCTCCTTCACTATGGGCAACCTTCCACCCTCCATTCCTCCCTCTTCTCCCTTAGCCTGTGTTCTCAAGAACCTAAAACCACTTCAACTCATACCTGACCTAAAACCTAAATGCCTTATTTTCTTCTGCAATGCCGCTTGACCCCAATACAAACTCAATAATGGTTCCAAATAGCCAGAAAATGTCACTTCCGATTTTTCCATCCTACGAGATCTAGATAATTCTTGTCGTAAAATAGGCAAACGGTCTGAGGTGCCTGATGTCCAGGCACCTGGATTGGTCCCTCCCTAGTCTCTGTTCCCAATGCGACTTGTCCCAAATCTTCCTCCTTTCCTTCCCACCTGTCCCCTCAGTCCCAACCCCAAGTGGCCTGTCCCCTCAGTCCCAACCCCAAGCGTCGCTGAATCTTTTCAATCTTCCTTTTCTACCAACCCATCTGACCTCACCTCTCCTCCCCAGACTGCTCCTCCTCAGTTTGCTCCTCACCAGGCTGAATCAGTCTCCAATTCTTCCTCAGCCTTCGCTCCCCCACCCTATAATCCTTCTATCACCTCCCCTCCTCACACCCGGTCCAGCTTACGTCTTACAGTTTTGTTTCGCAACTAGCCCTCCCCAACCTGCCCAACAATTTCCTCTTAAAGAGGTGGCTGGAGCTAAAGGTATGGTCAAGGTTAATGTTCCTTTTTCTTTATCTGACCTCTCCCAAATCAGTTAGTGTTTAGGCTCTTTTTCATCAAATATAAAAACCCAGCCCAGTTCATGGCTCATTTGGCAGCAACCCTGAGACACTTTACAGCCCTAGATCCTGAAGGATTAGAAGGCCATCTTATTCTCAAAATGCATTTTATTACCCAATCTGCTCCCAATATTAAATAAAGCTCCAAAAATTAGATTCCAGCCCTCAAACCCCATAACAGGACTTAATTTACCTTGCCTTCAAGGTGTACAATAATAGAGAAGAGTTGCAATTACTTGCCTCTGCTGTAAGAGAAACCCCAGCCACATCTCCAACACACCAGAACTTCAAAATGCCTAAGTCACAGCGGTCAGGGATTCCTTGAGGACTTCCTCCCCCAGGATTTTGCTTCAAGTGCCGAAAATCTGGCCAGTGGTCCAAGGAATGCCCACAGCCTGGGATTCCTCCTAAGCCGTGTCCCATCTGTGCGGGACCCCACTGGAAATTTGACTGTCCACCTCGCCTGGCAGCCACTCCCCAGAGCCCCTGGAATTCTGGCCCAAGGCTCTCTGACTGACTCCTTCGCAGATCTTCTTGGCTTAGCGGCTGAAGACTGATGCTGCCTGATCACCTCGGAAGCCTCCTGGACCGTCACAGACACTTTGGGTAACTCTTAACAGTGAAGGGTAAGTCCATCCCCTTCTTAATCAATATGGAGGCCACCCACTCCACATTACCTTCTTTTCAAGGGCCTGTTTCCCTTACCTCCATAACTGTTGTGGGTATTGACGGCCAGGCTTCTAAACCTCTTAAAACTCCCCAACTGTGGTGCCAACTTAGACAATATTCTTTTGTGCACTCCTTTTTAGTTATCCCCACCTGCCCAGTTCCCTTATTAGGTGGAGGCATTTTAACTAAATTATCTGCTTCCCTGACTATTCCTGGGCTACAGCCACACCTCATTGCCGCCCTTTTCCCCCAGTTCAAAGCCTCCTTTGCATCCTCCCCTTGTATCTTCCCACCTTAATCCACAAGTATGGGACACCTCTACGCCCTCCTTGGTGACGATCATGCACCCCTTACATCCCATTAAAACCTAATCACCCTGACCCCGCTCAATGCCAATATCCCATCCCACAGCAGGCTTTAAAAGGATTAAAGCCCATTATCACTCGCCTGTTACAGGATGGCCTTTTAAAGCCTATAAACTCTCCTTACAATTCCCCATTTTACCTGTCCGAAAACCAGACAAGTCTTACAAGTTAGTTCAGGATCTGCGCCTTATCAACCAAATTGTCTTGCCTATCCACCCCGAAGTGCCAAACCCATATACTTTCCTATCCTCAATACCTCCCTCCACAACCCCTCCACAACCCATTATTCTGTTCTGGATCTCAAACATACTTTCTTTACTATTCCTTTGCACTCTTCATCCCAGCCTCTCTTCACTTTCACTTGGACTGACCCTGACACCCATCAGGCTCAGCAAATTACCTGGGCTGTACTGCCACAAGGCTTCACGGATGACCCCCGTTACTTCAGTCAAGCCCAGATTTCTGAGAAATTCTGAGAAATTCTCTTCTGTTACCTATCTTGGCATAATTCTTCATAAAAACACACATGCTCTTCCTGCTGATCATGTCTGGCTAATCTCCCAAACCCCAACCCCTTCTACAAAGCAACAAGTCCTTTCCTTCCTAGGCATGATTAGGTACTTCCGCCTTTGGGTACCTAGTTTTACCATCCTGACTAAACCATTATATGAACTTACAAAAGAAAACCTAGCTGACCCCATAGATCCTAAAAGATCCATTCCCCACTCCTCTTTCTGTTCCTTAAAAACAGCCCTGGAAGCTGCTCCCACACCAGCTCTCCCTAACTCATCCCAACCCTTTTTCATTACACAGAGCCGAAGTGCAGGACTTTGTGGTTGAAATTCTTACACAAGAGCTGGGACTGCACCGTGTAGCCTTTCTGTCCAAACAACTTGACCTTACTGTTTTAGCCTGGCTCCCACATTATTCCTGATACCACACCTGACCTCCATGACTGTATCTCTCTAATCCACCCGGTATTCGCTCCATTTCCCCATATTTCCTACTTTTCTGTTCCTCACCCTGATCACACTTGGTTTATTGATGGCAGTTCCACCAGGCCTAATCACCACTCACCAGCAAAGGCAGGTTATGCTATAGTATCTTCCACATCTATCCTTGAGGCTACTGCTCTGCCCCTCTCCACTACCTCTCAGCAAGCCAAACTCATTGCCTTAACTCGAGCCCTCACTCTTGTAAAGGGACTATGCGTCAATATTTATACTGACTCTAAATATGCCTTCGTATCCTGCACCACCATGCTGTTATATGGGCAGAAAGAGGTTTCCTCACTACACAAGGGTCTTCCATCATTAATGCCTCTTTAATAAAAACTCTCCTCAAGGCCGCTTTACTTCCAAAGGAAGCTGGAGTCATTCACTGCAAGGGCCATCAAAAGGCATCAGATCCCATCACTCAGGGTAATGCTTATGCTGATAAGGTAGCTAAAAAAGCAGCTAGCATTCCAACTTCTGTCCCTTACGGCAGTTTTTCTCCTCCTCATCGGTCACTCCCACCTACTCCCCCACTGAAACTTCCACCGATCAATCTCTTCCCACACAAGGCAAATGGTGCTTGGACCAAGGAAAATGTCTCCTTCCAGCCTCACAGGCCCATTCTATTCTGTCGTCATTTCATAACCTCTTCCGTGTAGGTTACACGCTGCTACCCTGCCTCTTAGAACCTCTCATTTCCTTTCATCATGGAAATCTGTTCTCAAGGAAATCACTTCTCAGTGTTCCATCTGCTATTCTACTACTACTCAGAGATTGTTCAGGCCCCCTCCCTTCCCTACACATCAAGCTCAGGGATTTGCCCCTGCCCAGGACTGGCAAATTAACTTTACTCACATGCCTCCAGTCAGGAAACTAAAATACCTCTTGGTCTGGGTAGACACTTTCACTGGATGGGTAGAGGCCTTTCCCACAGGGTCTGAGAAGGCCACCGTGATCATTTCTTCCTTCTGTCAGACATAATTCCTTGGTTTGGCCTTCCCACCTCTATACAGTCCAATAACAGACCGGCTTTTATTAGTCAAATCACCCAAGCAGTTTCTCAGGCTCTTGATATTCAGTAAAACCTTCATACCTCTTACTGTCCTCAGTCTTCAGGAAAGGTAGAATGGACTAATGGTCTTTTAAAAACACTCTTCACCAAGCTCAGCCTCATACTTAAAAAGGAGGACTCTGTCAAGGATAGAGCCCAACAACTTGTCAACCAAGCAAGTAATTACGCTGAACCCCCTTGGGCACTCTGTAATTGGATGTCCTGGGTCCTCCCAGTTCTTGGTCTTTTAATACCTGTTTTTCTCCTTCTCTTATTCAGATCTTGTGTCTTCTGTTTAGTTTCTCAATTCATACAAAACCATATCCAAGCTATCACCAATCATTCTATATGACAAATGTTTCTTCTAACAACCCCACAATATCACCCCTTACCACAAAATCTTCCTTCAGCTTAATCTCTCCCACTCTAGGTTCCCACGCCGCCCCTAATCCCGCTCAAAGCAGCCCTGAGAAACATCGCCCATTATCTCTCCATACCACCCCCCAAATTTTCGACACCCCAACACTTCAACACTATTTTGTTTTGTTTTTCTTATCAATATAAGACAACAGGAATGTCTGACCTCTGAGCCAAAGCCTGCAGGTATACATCCAATACATCCAGATGGCTTGAAGCAAGTGAAGAATCACAAAAGAAGTGAAAATGACTGGTTCCTGCCTTAACTGATGACATTACCTTGTGAAATTCCTTCTCCTGGCTCAGAAGCTCCCCCACTGAGCACCTTGTGACCCTCGCCCCGCCTGCCAGAGAACAACCCCCTTTGACTGTAATTTTCCACGACCTACCCAAATCCTATAAAATGGCCCCACCCCATCTCCCTTCGCTGACTCTCTTTTTGGACTCAGCCTGCCTGCACCCAGGTGAAATAAACAGCCTTGTTGCTCCCACAAAGCCTATTTGGTGGTCTCTTCACACGGAAGTGCGTGACAGAGACATGGACTGACCTCACAGGGGCATTGGGACTGCCCAACAGGATAATAACGTGGAGAAGTACTTTGTCGGGTATCTGCCAAATGACTATTGTTACGATGATTTTTAGAGTGTGGAAGATGCCCCTCTAAAGGGACATCATTCTCGGAGCATTTGTTGACCAAAATAATGGGATAGAAGATACAGCTATTATTCTAAAAATGTGCAGTTCTGATGCAGAGGGAAGTTATCGTCACGACGTGCTAAACAGCACAACATATTAATGTCAAACGAGGCTATGGGGAGGGGCTCTGAGGGCCAAAACCATGTGAGGCCACGTGGTCTCCATGACTGGGCAAAGTCTTATGGAGGGTGTGAGACTTAACCGGGGCTCTCCTAGGTTGGAGAGAGAAAGCTGAGCAAACAGAGACGTTCACTGGTTCCCAACTGTTAGCCAGGGCAGAAAATCTGCGACTATCTGCAGGGTGCACTAATTATACAGATTTGATAGAAGGCTGTATTGGGGACTCACTAGAGAGACTGAGTGCATAAATTTGATCAAGAAGATTAGAAAATGACCGAGAAAGTGGATAATCGGTTTTTACTACGGTGTTCTCAGAAATTCTAATTAGTGGTAGCAATTGGATTCTGCAATGTTTTTCTTTGGTGAATCCCAACAAAACCAATTAACTTGTATTGCATCCATACATTACCATGCACACAGGCCATAAGCAAGGGAAGGCGTATTTAGTCTAACTGCTGCCTTTTGGCTTTTAACAGAAAATCAATTCATTTTGGCACATTAAACCATTAGTGCCCGTTGGATATGAACTTCGCCTTTTTCTTTACATTTCTCTCCCACTTCCCCTTCTTCTGTTACAGGGGCGGAAACTGTCGACTTTGAAGGCTGTGAATGGGGGGCTTCCCAGGAAATCGGGATAGACTCACACACACTGGCATGTCTTTGGGCCTCAAGGAACTTTCTGATTGAATTCTGAAAGTCCTTGAGGCTTCTAAATTCTACAATCAAGCATCAGCTTTATGAATTCCCTATTCCGTGAAGAGGTGGTGTCATTGAGAACCTGTTGGATGGATGTCATCAGCACTGTCTCAAGGGTTTCTCAGAGGTACAGCAGATTAGATGAGGGGGAACTCCTACACTAGGGATGGAAAATTAATGGTACCTGTGATGGTTAATGTTAGGTGTCAACCTGACCAGGCTAGGTTAGGCTAGGCTGTGCAGCTGTGCGGTCAAATGTTAGTCCAGATGTTGTGAATATATATATTTGTTTTTTTCTGAGACAGGGTCTCACTCTGTTACCCAGGCTGGAGTGCAGTACACGATTATGGTTCACTGTAGCCTCAACCTCCCAGGCTCAAGTGATCTTTCCATCTCAGTCTCCTGAGTAGCTGGGACCATAGGCATGTGCCACCATGCCTGATAAATGTTTTTATTTTTTGTAAAGATGGGGTTTTACTGTGTTGCCCAGGCTGTTCTCAAACTCCTGGGCTCAAGCTATCCTCCCGTCTTGGCCTCCCAAAGTTCTAGGATTACAGGCATGAGCCACTGTGCCTGGCTGTGAACATATTTTGTAGATACAATTAACGTTTACACTCAGTTGACTTTAAGTAAAGGAAATTACCCTCCAGTATATGGGTGGGCCTCACCCAATCAGCTGAAGGCCTTAAGAGCCAAAACTGAGGGCTCCTAGCGAAGAAGGAATCCTGTCTTTAGACTGTAACATAGAAGTCCTGCCTAAGTTTCCAGCCTGCTGGGCTGCCCTGCAGATTTTGGACTCAGTGCTGAAACATCAGTCATCATTGGTTCTTTTTTTAACATTTTTTTGAGACAGGGTCTTACACCACCATCCGTGGCTGGAGTGCAGTGGTGTGATCTCAGCTCGAGTGATCCTCCTGCTTCAGCCTCCTGAGGAGCTAGGATTATATAGGTGCAAGCTACCACACCCAGCTAATTTTAAATTTTTTGTAGAGACAAGGTCTTGCTATGTTGACCTGGCTGGTCTGTAACTCCTGGCCTCAAGCAGTCCTCCCACCTCAGCCTTGCAAAGTGCTGGGATTATGGGCATGAGCCACCGTGCCCGGCCCATCAGCTCTTACCTGAGTGTCCAGTCCTGCTGGTCTGTCCTGCCAGCCCCCACAATGCTGTGAGTCAATTCTTTAGCATTTCTCCCTCTCCATCTATGGCTAGATCTGAGTGTATATCTTTTTTTCTCTCTCTCCTGTTGGTTCCATTTCTCCAGAGAACGCTGACCGGCACCCTGCCCGTACCACCAGCCGCTCTCTCGGGCCCAGCGTGGTGATGGGTCGTAGCCGCTGCTGATGCTCCTTCCTTCTGATCCCAGATGCAGCTTCAGTATCCTCTGCAGGTTGGGGGGACTGTGATGATTTGGAGTCAGCACTTGAGAGGAAACGTGCTTGCTCTTCTAATTGTAGTGGATATTCTTCCTGGATGTTGACTAATAAAACAAATGGACGTTCTCATGTTAGGTACCGTCTAATTAATTTTTCAACAAATATTTGTGGGCTTCTGATGCCCAAGTGCTGTGTTTAGTGTTATGGTGGATATCAGGAGGGATGAGACACAGAGCAGCAGAGATCTGGGTGGAGCATTTCTTTCCACACCCTCGGCGGGAGGTCCTGGAGGACAGGGTGGGGTAAGCAGGCTGAGGCAGGGGTGGAGTCCGACTAGTTTCCCATGACCTCACCATCATGACGGTTTTCCAGGAACTGTAGAGAGAGGGAGGCAAGGACGGCACCCCTTGCAGGGAGGAGGGAAGCTGGGAGTGGACCTGTAGCCACCTGTGAACTTGATCCCAGAGCAGCCTGGGGTTCTTCGAAAGAGAGGGCGTGCCCACCTGCCCTGTTTCCATTCTGGTGTTCACAGAGTGACCTCTAACATCTCAATGTTCACTCTTTGAGAGATGGAGCTACTAAAAGCCCAGATTCCACCACTATGCAGTATGTACAAGTAAGAAGCTTGCACTCCTGCCTCCTAAATATATAAAAATAAATAGCTACAAAATAAAAGTCAAGTAGATATTACAGGGACAGTGGTTATGGGATGGATGAAAGAATAAAAACAAATTTTTTTTTTGAGACGGAGTTTTGCTCTTGTTGCCCAGGCCGGAGTGCAGTGGCGCGATCTCAGCTCACCACAACCTCTGCCTCTCGGGTTCAAGCGATTCTCCTGCCTCAGCCTCCCGAGTAGCTGGGATTACAGACATGCACCACCATGCCCGGCTGGTTTTGTATTTTTTGTAGAGACGGGGTTTCTCCATGTTGGTCAGGCTGGTCTCGAACTCCCAACCTCTGGTGATCCGCCTGCCTCGGCCTCCCAAAGTGCTGGAATTACAGGAGTGAGCCACTGTGCCCAGTGAATCAAATTTTTAACCAGAAAGAGAGAGAACAAAGGAAGGACTTTGAAATCAGTGTGTGTGTGTGTGCACATGTGTGTGCATTCACACGGGTGGCACTGTGGTTGTAGGGTAAGATTGATAGAACAAATGATGCCATTAATAAGTGTGGAGGAGCTTTTAAATTAACAGCAGCCCAAGGTTGGAGATTAATTTTTTAAATGTTTCTTAACCAGAAAAATGAAGCAAATGAATTCCGACAATTAGGAAGTAATGAAGACCTTTCGAGAATGGCTTATTAAAGAGAAGAGATCAGGGAATTCTTAGTGCGTGTGAAGCCAGTGTCAATCAGCGGCCTCAGATGCCGGCGTCTTCGGGCATTGGGGGAGGTGGCGTGCTCACTTTTGAACCCAAGTAGTCATCTTTGAAACATCTTAGAGAATGCGCCAAGGAAGGCAACGTAGGATCTGCAGCCCTTGCTGCCGAGGGTGCGCCGCTGGGCCGCGGTCCTACTCTGTCTGTCCAGCCCTCCATCTCACTCCACCCCGTGGTGCGTCAAAGGGCAGGTGGTCCTGCGTTGGGCCTGCATTGCTCTGATGCTCTTGGGACGTGCCTGACCTTGTGAACAGTGTCTGGTGACTGCTGGGAAGTGTGAGCAGGGTCATTGAAGGCTTGGAAGGAAGTGAAGGACCGAGGGGCCTGGAAACAAAGGGGGACTCTGGCACTGGAACAGTGGACAATGGTCTTGGACGTCTGACACCTCATACATCAGGAGCTTTTTTGATTGTTAGCTGCTAGCTTCTGTGTGATTTTTGTGTCTTTTAAAATTTTCTTTTGCTTTTGTTGCCTGTGCTTTTGGGGTCATATTCAAGAAATGATTGCCCAGACCAATGCCATGGAGTTTTTTTCACTGTTGTCTTCTAGTAGATGTCTAGCTTCAGGTCTTACATTTAAGTCTTTAATACATTTTGAGTTGATTTTTGTAGATGGAGGGAGATGAGTTTCAGTATTTGGCATGTGGCTCTCCCATTTTCCCAGCACCCTTTATAGAAGAGCCTGTCCTTTCCCCCAGTGTGCGTTCCTGGTCTTGCCAAAGACCATCTGACTGTGACTGTGTGCATTTGTTTCTGGGCTCTCTGTTCTCTTCCATGGGCCTGGATGTCTGTTTTTGGGGCTTGGGCACCGTGTTTTTTTTTTTTTTTTTCTTGCTCTGTTGCCCAGGCTGGAGTGCAATGGTGTGATCTTGGTTCACTGCAACCTCTGCCTCCTGGGTTCAAGCGATTCTCCTGCCTCAGCCTCCTGAGTAGCTGGGATTACAGGTGCCCACCACCATGCCTGGCTAATGTTTTTATTTTTATTAGAGATGAGGTTTCACCATGTTGGCCAGGCTGGTTTTGAACTCCTGACCTCAGAAGATCCACCCGCCTCTGCCTCCCAAAGTGCTGGGATTACAGGCGTGAGCCACTGTGCCTGGCCTGGGTACCATCTTTTAAGATTAGCAGAGTGGTTGTAAGGTGCTCTAGAGTTTATAACCACTGAGTTAGGCAAATTGCATTATAAAGGTTGTGTCTTAGTCAATTTGGGCTGCTGAATACTATAAACTGGGCAGATCTGGAGCCTGGCGTTTGGAAGCCAGACCTCTTCCTGGCTTGCACAAGGCTGTCTTCTCGTATGTCCTCACATGGCCTTTCCTTGGTGGGTGCACTCAGGGCCTGGTGGGAGGGTGGGAGGGAGAAGGACCTCTTGTGTTTCTGTTTTTACAAGGACACTCATCTCTTCAGGCAGACCCCATCCTCGTAACCTCATCTAACTCCAGTCACTTCCCAAAGACCCCATCTCCAAATACCATCATACTGGGGATGAGGGCTTCAAGATGTGAATTTTGAGGGACACAAGCATGCAGTCCGCAGTGGGTGGATTCTCAGCACTCCATCACCGCTGCGACAGAGGCACAATTCCTCAAGACTGCAGAGGCCAGGGCTTGCCTCACTGGCATCCTTGCTGTGTGCCGGGCACCAAACTGGCGGCTTCGTGGAGGTTTGGTCATATAATCCGCAGATCCACCTGTGGACTTAGGATTCTGGTTTTTTATTTTTATTTTTTTGAGATGGAGTTTCATTCTGTCACCCAGGCTGGAGTGCAGTGGCGTGATCTTGGCTCACTATAAGCCCTGCCCCCTGGATTCAAGTGATTCTCCTGCCTCAGCGTCCCCAGTTGCTGGGATTACAGGTGCGCACCACCACGCCTAGCTAATTTTTGTATTTTCAGTAGAGATGGGGTTTCACCATGTTGGCCAGGCTGGTCTTGAACTCCTGACTTCAGGTGATCCACCCGCCTCCACCTCCCAAAGTGCTGGGATTACAGGCCTGAGCCACCACGCCTGGCCTGGTCTTATTATTCTTATTGTCCTTTTATTCATGAGGAAACAGGCTGACTCGCCTATGACTGAGCAGCAAGTGAGTGCAGGAGGCAGGATTTAGATGGGTGGGGTCTGTGCGAACGCAGGACCATGGCGTCCCCACAGTGTCCCCACCGGGCATCCCCACAGCGCCACCATAGCACGTCCGCACAGCGTCCCCACCGGGCATCCCCACAGCGCCCCCACAGTGCGCCCCCACAGCGTGTCCCCACCGGGAGTCCCCACAGTGCGTCCCCACAGCGTGACCCCACAGCGCCCCCATAGCACGTCCCCACAGTGTGCCCCCACAGCGTGTCCCCACTGGGAGTCCCCGCAGTGCGTCCCCACAGCGTGACCCCACAGCGCCCCCATAGCGCGTCCCCACAGTGCGTCCCCATAGCACATCCCCACAGCGTTCCTACAGTGTGTCTCCACAATGTCCCCACAGTGCATCCCCACAGCATGTCCCCACAGCACGTCCCCACAGCACGTCCCCACAGCACCCCCATAGCGCATCCCCACAGCGTGTCCCCACAGTGCCCCGACAGCGTCCCCACAGCATACACACAGGGTGTCCCCACAGCGTGTCCCCACAGTGCCCTGATACTGTCCTCACAGCACGTCCCCACAGCGCCCCCACAGCATCCCCACAGCATCCCCACAGCACATCCCCACAGCACACCCTCACAGCGTCCCCACAGGGCGTCCCCACAGCGTCCCCACAGCATAAACACAGCGCGTCCCCACAGCACCCCCATAGCGCTTCCCCACAGCATGTCCCCACAGCATACCCCCACAGCATCCCCACAGTGCACCCTCACAGCGTCCCCACAACATACACACAGGGCGTCCCCACAGCATCCCCATAGTGCGTCCCCACAGCACCCCCACAGCACATCACAGTGCCTCCACAGCGTCCCCACAGCATACACGCAGGGCGTCCCCACAGCATGTCCCCACAGAGCACTGAGGCATGCAAAGGCACCTCTGTGGGCTGAATGGTGCCTCCCAAATCTGTGTGTTGCATTCTCACCTGCAGGACCTCAGAATGCGACTGCTTTTGGAAATAGGGTCTTTCAAGGGTAATGAAGGGTAATGAAGTTAAAGCGAGGTCATCAGGGTGGGCCCTAACCTGGTGGGACTGGTGTTCCTATGACCAGGGGAGATGAGGACAGACATGCACAGACGACCACATGAAGACACAGGGAGAAGACGGCCATCTACAAGCCAAGAAGAGAGGCCCAGGAGAAACCCACCCTGCCACACTTGATTTCTGACTTCCAGCCTCCAGAACTGCAAGGAAAGAAGCCGCTCTTGTTTCTGGCACCCCATCTGTGGCACTTTGTTACAACAGCCCTAGCAAACGAGTACAGTATTTAAAATCTTCACAAATGCCTGTTGAACCAAACCAAAATGGTCTGTGTGCCACCACAGCCCGGACCTGTGAAGTTTCAAATGATAGAGGTCACTTGGTAAAAGCTGCCTGCAGACTTTCCCCCCGGCTGGACCAGGGATCTTGGGGTGGACGTTTTTGGATGTTGACCAAGCCAGCTTGGAAAAGGGAAATAACATGAGAACTCTGCTTAAACTTAGAAAGATTATCTTCCCCTGGATGCTGTCTTGCATTGTTTTTCAATAATAATAACGATACCGGCTGGTTTGAGTGCTTACTGTGCTGGGCGTGGCTCTATGTGCCTTGCATGTATCAGTGACTCTGCTTCTCACAA